TTGCAAAAAAAAAAAAAAATGTACATGAAATAATGCTGTTCTCTTTTTTCCTGCTTCAGTAAACTCTCTAAATTATTTGATTTCATAAAACAAAGGATATAGCATATATTTTTTCCAGATGGGTATTCTACAACTAACCTGTCAGCTACAGTTCGTTTTGAGCAGTGCATGATTATAAATAATACAGTCTCAGGACCTGAATCCAGTCTCTGTGACACCAGTATGAAACAAAAGTAAATGAAATCATCAAAGTTAATGGAGCTATACCAGTATGGTGGTCTAACTCAGTGGTCGAAGAATTCAGCCTAAGCCAACTACAGATTTTGTTGGGTGCTAGGACATCTCCTTGAGATTGTCTCTAATGTATGATGAAGATATCTCTATTTCCTTAAAATTCTTCACCCCAGGATAATGACTTGCCTGATTTTTTTCTCTAAATAATTCCTGATCATGACCCAAATAATGCTTTTTTTTTTTTTTATGCACATACGAATTTTGTGTATAATTTTATCTTTATGTTCAAAAAAGATTGCTCCAAATATAAGTCCATCTCTTTGAAAATGCAATATACCTCTTTACTGTGCAGCACTCCTGCTCCACCTGATGTGTCAAGCACATGCTCCATCAGCTCCTGGTCTGCATGTGCAAACACAGAATGAGATTCCTCTGCCCTGACTTAGTCTAGACTCACCACCCTAAGCTCCCCTGACAATCAACAGGCAAAAACAAGCACCACCAGAGATTGATGCTGGGCACTTACTTCCCTATGAACATCAGAAATTGCTCACTTCTAAATGCAAAATGCCTGAAATCAGAGGAGAGAAACCCTATCCTATCCTGAATGAAAGGAAGAGAATTTCATTATATGTTCTGAACATACAGGATTTATTATTGTCTCTTTACTATTTTGTAAATGAATGATGACAAGATCATCAAGAAGTCTGTTCCATAAAGGCTCTCTCAGCAGGAGAACCAGTGAAGGATATTGTGAAATTCAAGAGAAGACAAGACAGGAGGGTGACAGTTTGAGGAAGATGACAATGGTGAGCTGGTTCTGAGATTTGACTCCTTAGAAAGACAAAGAGAGAAATAAAAGCAGGCTCAGTGACTATCAAAATTGAGAAATAAGACATAAAAGAGCAAAAAAAAGAGAAAGAAATCTAGTTTATGAAAGGAAAAATTTCTCAGTGAGTGAAGAGATAATAAAAGAGATGTTAAAAGTGAGAACAGAAAAGCCAAACACCTCTGCATGAATTGGTAAAAGCAGATAGTGAGGAAAACTGAATAGTAAATCATTTCTGTTCTCCAAAAGACAAACTCCAATATTGTAGCAACCACTCAGTTTTGTAGTATCACCTTTTGGCCTTGGGACACTAATGACAAAAGTGATGGCATTGACTCCAGGCTTCCACTTTCCCATCCTGAAGAGCAGTAGCAGAATATACAGAAACCTTTGTGGACTTTCTCTGAGGAGATTAAGGAAAACAACCGGTCTCATCCAGCTTGTCAACACTATGCAGGTGTATGTATATATGCTCAATCAGTTGCACATGTCTCCTAGACAAGACTTCTGCAGAGCACCCAGTCCAGCAAAGAATAGGGTAACTGGCAGGAGCCTGTATAAAGGTTAGCCAGGGAAATGGAGCTGCAGTACCTTAAACACAGTATTCCCTTGTAGACCCTATACAATGAGAAGATTCATCTATTTCTAACCCAAACGCTGGTCATCCTTTATCAGTAGTAACAGTTAACTGTTTCTCCTTCACTTATTATATATGCCAAAGCCTGTTCCACAGACTGTTAACCAACAAGCCAGTGACCTTTTACAACCTGGACTGGGAAGCACAAGTGTTAATGACAAAGATCAGCAGGGCAGTGCTACATATGAAATGGACACACTTTTGATACATATTTGTATAGTCTTCAGCATATTTTTACAACCAAATTGCACATCTTCTGGAAATGTTTCTGGAAACACAAAACATTGGGTATGTTTAGAAATCTTTCCCATGACTCTAGCTATACTTGCAGAAGAAATATACCTTTTTCTTTACAGAACTAGTAAAATCATAGATATGTGATCCAGCTTTCAGAAAATGGATGACTACTTCTGTAGGTAGTTAGTAGGCAGTGAGCTCTTTTTTGCATTTCACTTCTAAGATCTAGGTTACATCATTTTCATATTGTTTTGTTCAAGAGCTCAAATTATTAACTTTCAGAGTGAAAGAGTATGACTTGCCCCTTCTTATTCTGTGAGATGTGCTTGTTGCTATTGTATAGGAAAAGGGAAAAGCAAAAGAGGTACAGTATTTGGTTGAAACATTTTTATTTCATATTTTACTCGTTCCTGACTTAAAGTTGGGAGTGATTTTGAGTATCTAATGAGCTCCAGCTGATCTTGCACTATAAAACTGCAGCAGGCTGGAAATGGGGAGAGGTCAGATGTTGCCCACTGACCCTCCTGTCTACAGCAGCATGGAGCTTACTGCTGACTTTCTGAAAATCGTTGGAAAGTCTGTGAGAAAGGTTAAATAGTGATGGAGACTCCACAGTGTTCCTGAGCAATCTGTTCCACTCCTTAACTCTCCTAACCATTAAACATTTCTTTATAATCTCTAATTTAAATCTCCCCTATTGCAGTTTAATCCCATTATATGTTGTAGCCATAATGAGTGTGGTGAATAATTGATTGCCTTCCTCTTTGCTGCTACTTTCTATATATCTGAAAACTGTATCTCACTTCGTCTTTCCCTGTTAGAGAGCTAACAACCCCAGTTCCTTCAGTCTTTCCTTGTAGGCTATGTATTTTGTTTTTTCAACCTTTGATCATTCTTGTTTTTCTCCTCTGAGCTCCTTCCAACTGGCTCATATCTTTCTTGAAATGCAATGTCCAACACTGAACACAGTATTCTAGCTGAGGCCCCACAAATGTAAGGTATGGCAGAAGAATTATTTTGCATGTCTCACAGACAGCGTTTCAAAGCACATGCTCCAGACTGCAAAACAAATGAATAAATAAACAACACAAAGCAACAGTAAGATACTACAGACTTAGGTTCAGCTTGTTATTTCTTACAAGTCTTTCTGTTTGGGCACTCACTTCTTCTTGTCTAAGTAGAGTAACTGTGTTTTTCTTTCCTGAACTGTACCCTACCTGTATGCTAAAGTCCAAATTTTTCTTAACATTTTAAGAAATCTTGCCTAGGATAAAATATGCATATGCCAGGATTTCTCCAAGGCAAGAAAAACAAAATAAAATATCTAATGGCCAATAAAAACAAGCCATTGATACAAGTGCTTACCACGAGCATGCTACCAATGTTCTTCAGACCCTGCTTTTTGCATGATTACTCATTTTTTGATAGTTACCCAATCCTAACATTGCAAGCTTTCATCTGAACCACAAGCCAGAAGTATTTTATCAGCTATCAAATAGCTCAGAGCTATTGCCAATGTATTTTGAATGATTTCCATTAAGAATCAGCCCAGCAGCTTTAACTACTAAAATTAACAGCATTGTTTTAATCATTAGAGATAAAGCAGAGGTAAGAGAATGAGAACAATCTCAACTGATTGTTAAGTACATTTTAATGAACTGCTTTAAAAACTAATTTAAGAAAATCACACACAAAAAAAAAAAAAAGAGGGATAAAATGTATATTATGGATCCACAATGCTAGCAGCCATTAGAAGTGACTTTGGGGAATTTTGGAGATGTAAGTTTGAGTTGGGTTCAGCGGTATGTTGGTGTGAATGGGTGGCTAAACTGTGTGGCTGATAGAGATTGATGAGAATGTGGACTAGCCCAATAGTGAGATTTTTGATATTTGCTTATATTCAGGTAAGAAGAAAGCAAATTGTTTTCAACTAATGCTAACTCAATGCACATCATGGCAAGATATACCCCTGGAATGACGTATGATTTGTGGGTGCCTCTCAGAGAGAAATAATGTTCCTTTGAGATGTCTGTATGAATAAATGTGATGTAGACTGTCTAAGAAAAGTGTTCCGAATATTATTTCTCGTGTGTCTTCTTTTCAACCTTCCATCAGTCAAATGGAAGTATCTTTTTACTCTACTTAAAAATTTGTCTTGTTAACAAAGAGCCAAACCCTTAATCAGATGGAAACATGGGAAACAGAACCCAAGCAGAACACAAGAAGGCAAAGGAGGGGTCCCTACTCAGAGTGACTTTGCTGACATTTTAGTTCTCAGCACTAAAATTGCATGTCAAATGTAAAAACTTAATTACATGTCAAGTATATTCTCATTTCCAAGCAGACCACTCTCTTTGATGTGTACAAACCTCAGCAGGGAGGGCAGAGCAGACTCTAACAGCCGGCGATCATGGCTGTTCCCTGGCCACCCTCACCTGCAGGCAGAGGGATTGCCTGATTCCAGCTCTGCCAGACCCAAACCCAATCCCTGTGGATTCCCAAGGGGTAGGAGGTCAAAACCTGGGTTCCTCTCTTCGTCAGCTCGAAGCAGCCCTTAGTTTGACATGTCAGCAGCCTGGTGATGAGCACCCTGCCTCTCCTCATGTCTCACAGGGTTGCTCAGGATCTCACTGCCAGAAATTAAAAGATACCAAACGGGTCCATAGGTTTTGCACATCTTTGAGGAGCTTGACCCGAGAGGTTTGCTGTGTTTATCCCTCATCCTCTCAGCCCTATGAGGCACCACCGGCTGTCCTCAGGCATGCTCGCTGCAGCAGGCAAGCTTGCACCAGCATGAACCCCCCTGACAAGAGCCAGTTTTCCCCTGTCTCAGCCCTCACCTCACCCCCTCGGTGCCCTGACGGTGCGGATCCCAACCCCACCAGCAGGACCCCGTCCCCCCCCTACCCCCGCTCAGCCGTGAGGAGCCCGGGACCCCCCATTTCCGACGGCACCCGTGTGCTGCGGGGCCGGGGGCAGCCCGTGGGGGCGGGCAGCCGTCGGTGCCAGCCCTCGGTGGGCAGCCGGGGCCGCTCTGTGAGAGGGGAGGAGCCCCCCAGCAGCCCCCCCGCCCCCGCCGCGCACACCCCACTCGCCCTATAGGGGACGGGGGGCAGCGCCGCGCCGAGAGGCGCCGGGCACGGGGATCCTGCAGCGGTATGGCCCTCGCCAGGGCGGCGGGGCAGGCAGGTGAGGACGGGGACAGGGAATCGGGAATAGGGGCAGGGACGGGACCCAGCGGGAACCCCGACGGGACCTCGACGCCCCCCGCTCTCCGCAGGTCCCGGCGCGGCGCTGGCGCTGCTGTGGCTGCTGGTCCGTGCGGCGGCCCCGCCAGCCGTGTGCGCCCCGGGGGACAGCGGCTGCCTCCGGCTCTCCGTGGCAGATCTCTTCGACAGGGTGATCCGGCACTCGGGCAGGATCCACAGCCTCTCCACGGCTCTCTGCGCCGAGCTGGTGGGTGCCGGGACGGCTTTTGGGAGGGTGGGAAGGAAGGGTATAGGGCTCTCTTCAGGGTTTCCTCCCCCCCGCAGGAAAACCGCTTTCCTGCCCGTGACAACGAGCTGGGGAAGCCCGCACGGAGGTGCCCCACGGCCGGGATGCTGACCCCCAACGGCAAAGAGTACGCCCAAAAAATCCCGGTAAGGACGGGCTGCGGTGGCGGGGCGGGAGGGGGCGGCCCCTAGGGCGGTCCCTCGATCCCCTGAGTCCGTTCCCAGCCCCGGTTCCCCGGTCCCGTGTCCCCCTCCCGCCCCATCGGAGCCTCCGTCACCCTGCGGCTGGGTGCTTGCCCCCCCGGTGCCGGCGGGGGACCGGCAATGAAGTTTGCAGCCCCTGGTGCTTCCCCGACACCTCGTCTTGAGGGGTCTGACCCCAAACACGTGCCTGTCACCGCGGTCCCTGCCCCGTTGGGCTGTGAGCCGTGTGGTGTATCCGCATGGCTGCCTGCGGGAGCGCATCTTTGTGGGTCAGAAGAGAGGGACTTGAGACAAGCGACTGACAGGCAGACACCCCTTTGACATATATGTCTTAATTGTGGCTCTGTGAAATAGAAAGTTAGGAAACTGTGAGAGTGATATGTATTGGATTAATCAAAGTGTAAAAAGCGATCAGGAGAAAGGTGCCACAGTCACTATCTCTGAATCGGTAGGTATGAAGAAAGCAGCAAACTGTTCTAGGCATCATTCTTAGTTCAGAGAAAGTCAGGAAGTTTCCCTAGACAGAAAGTCTGGAAAGCCGGGGATACAACGGCGGGAGAGACTTTTGCCTCTAGGAGGAGACAGAGGGAGAGGAATGTCAGCGCCTGGCTCTGTGCTGAGGTGAGGAGCTAACCCCAGACGTTCAGCAGCTCACCCTGAGGGGCAATGAGAAATGAGGTGTTGCCTGGTTTAGGAAGCCTGAAGCGTTTAACCTCGCTTCTGAGCTGAGGCTGCAAGGGTCGGATGGCCATCTAGCTCCTGTTAGACAGGCAACTGCCCTGAGTACCAGGCCCTTTTCTTGGAAGCATGTCAGCAGTGAACCTTGAAGTGACATGGCTATGACCCATGTGAGGTGTGAGGCAACACCTGCACTCCCATACCAGCCACCCAAAATGTCTGGATGAGGCCCCTTGGGCTCTTGAGACATCCAGGAGTTCCTGAAACGTTCTCAGTCCCAGGTAACTTGGGCAGCATGCCACCATTTTGCTAATGCTGTGCTCCAGAGCACATGGGTCTAAAAAAGCTGAAAAGAAGACAAACAGAACTTTTGTGTTTCTTATATCTACGCAAATAACCAGAGACAGAGTAGCCCCTTACGTGCAGAATATTTCCAAACTACAGAGTTGAGCACATAACTCTTAACCCTGCAGAGATTTCACTGTGAGCCTGTCTGCATTCAGATCAGCTGCTGCAAACTAAGAGAAATTCTTTATTGTTTCACCTTGCAAGAGAGAAGAACTAACTAACGTGATACTGAAACTTTTGCACGCCTGGAAAGAACCGCTTTCCCACTTTAACCAGCACATGGAGCACCATCAAGAGTTACCTGATGACAGCCTTAGCAAAGCTAAGCAGATTAGCAAGATGGTTCACGAGCTGGAGACTGGGATTGAGAAAGTTACAGAAAAGGTAAGGTTTCCAATGGAACTTTTGTTCATACCAGGTATGTTGCAAAAGTGATTTAGGGGCTTCTGTTCAAATTGCATGAGCCCTCTTCATTGCCTCATGTTCCCTGAGTGATCACAAAATGCCATACTAATGAAACAGGCGGACTTTGTTATATAGATCCTGCAATTTTTCAGCCAAAGGATGTGACTTCATTCATGCAGTGACAGGTACGTAGATGACATAATAAACATTCAAATATGTAGATCACCATTTTATTGATATGCAACATGTGAAAGTTAGAGATAAGGACAAAGAATAGAACTACTGACAGCTTCAAATACGACCTAGTAATGCCTTTACTTTCCTAGGAGAGTAAAGGAGGTGTGGGCAGACCGCCACAAATAGTTAGATTATTGTTTTCAGGTTTATTCTGATTCACATTCTAACTAATTCAACTGCAGTCTGCTGCAAAGAGCTCCTTCCCAAGGGAACAATTGCTAAGGCAGGTTCTGCAAGACAACAAGACAAGTTCTTCAAGACAACAATGACATAGGTTAACTCAGATGCCAGTCACAAAACCATTTTAAACTTCTATTCCAAATTCTGGTGACTAGGATGTGAATTATTGCATGTAATTTTTCATTAGTTCCATTTCAGTCTTTTCTGGACTAGCGAGAAGTCAAAATCTTTGTATAAAAATCTTTGCATTAAAATCTTTGCATTCATATCTAAAGTCATTTGGAGTCATTTAGGGTAGACAAATATAGGTTATGTGTCCAATTTCTGAAATGGCTACACTTGTCAAGGTGCCTACACTTGTCAAGGTGCCTATTTAAACTAAAAAGCAAATAATAAACTAGCATCCTACATTCATAAGTCACTGTTGTCTTTATGAGCACAGATGGGGAGCATAAGTTTTAAAATGATAAAGAGCTCATCAGTATACTAGGAGGAATTGCACCCCACTCTATAATGCAGCCTTGATTAGGTTGACAAAGCAAGCCAACAAATTCTGAGCTAGGTACACACTTCTGGTATACTTGCCTGATTTTAATTTCCTAGAACAACTTTGGGCAAATTACTGAAAGGGAAGGCTCTGAAGTTTGGTGGAGTATGCCCTTTTTGACCTCTTATGGACCATGGACACACCACACTGTAGACAGAATTTAAACAAATCAAGCAACTGACACAAATGCACCCCAATATTTTGCGATTCTTTGATTTACTTTTTTTTTTTTTTTTTAAGACACTAATTCTAACCTTGGTTCTTATTGTGAAGGAAGGTACTACCTCTGAGAGGTGATAACAGTCACCATATTTCACCAGCTTAAACAGCACTATCAAATGTTCACATCAGAAGCTTCCCCTGACAAACTAACTAAAATTAATGTCTACAAGTCTGGAGGCTGATTTGCTGCATTCCTTCAAGAGGAAACAACCAAGCAGTGGTTTCTACTTCAATTCAGATTCTGTAATTCTTATAGTCCTTGTGTTACTGGTGTATCAGATCATTTCAGGCTAGTCTTTTGGTGTGGGCACTTAGGAATAAACAGGCAGTGTTATTTTTCTGTTAGGAGCTTTACACCTATCTTCAATATATACAAGAAAAGCAAGAGTAGAACACCCTAACATACTTGATACTTGGCTTAACTTGTGCACTAGTATTTTAAAGATTTGTTTATATGCAGCTGCTTCTTGTACTTCCTTTCCTGTTTCCAAAACAGATGCAGTCAATGGGCATCATCAGCAATTCCTTACATGGAATGGCATCATCTGAAGCTGCTGGCTTCTCCAGTACTAATGAAGCAAACATGATGAGCGACTCTGACTTTATTCACTGTTTCAAGAGAGACTCCAACAAAGTACAATGCTACTTAAAAATTCTGAAGTGTAGGATTATGCCAGAAAACAGTTGTTGAGTTGTGATCTCTTGGCAAGGAGTTTTCAGCATGTTGTTTACAAGGATGGGAAAATATAATTTATTTACAGTAATTTCACTAGGGAAGTGGTTTGGAAATTCTTTGGCAGCTACTTGAGTCTGTTAACCTATGCAGCTGGAATATTAAATAAAGCATCGTGTGTGATGTTGGTAAACGCACCAGCTAAAACGGAGTACTCCAGCAGTAGCTGAAGCCATGTCTTTGACACAGTTTAGACATATGCATGGTCACAAGTGAAAGTCAGTTTGTTAGGCCTTGGTACAAAGACATCTAAATATTCCAAGTTTCCATACAGACAGTAATGCTCAAGTCTGGTCTAAATGCCATTTCAGCATGAGGGCTTGGTACAGCTGATGGAGCAGTGAACCTGTTTCCCATTGCATGTCCTGACCCAGTGCATGGATTTTACTGTAATAATGACAAACTCCACAGCGAGTAAAAATCTGAAAGCCATTAGAAATTTTGCAGTCATCACAATTTCCTATCAGTGGGGAGGTTGCTTACTGCTGTTCCTAGAACAAAACTTCTCAGCATTTGGATCCTAAATGAGGCATTTGAATAGGCATTTATAATCACTGTGGATTTATCTTTTAACATTCCTGACTACTTCATCCCTGAATGCTCTTTTCTAGCCTCCTCTGATCTTGATGGTTGTTGACAGCTGCTGGAGCTCAGGCTGCCAAGAATGGAGATTAAAATGCTGATGATTGTTTCATACTGATGCTGGATTTGGTCTTGAGACACTCAGAGAACAGGAAAACATTTCAAAGGAACATTTATGCAGAGCAGAGGTAGAACCTTTTCAGGTGCATTTCACTCACCGTTGATACTCAGATACCAATGTACTTTCTCAGCTAGATGCTGTGAGCGCTCACAATTTGTTTCTGGTCCCTGTTGTGCCACAGACACCAGAAGTGCAGTGTTTTACAAGGTGCCTGCTCCAAAGAAGTTACTAGCTGCGATTCCTTAGGCAGGAAGGTGCCACAAACACATAGCAAAAGATCAGCACTTGAAGTTCTGGAAACAAAACACATATCCAGATAGTCAGAATAAAGAAAGGGTTCTGCAAGGAAGCAACACCACCAAAGGAGCAGAAGTGACAGGCCAGAGGGACGATGGCACCACCCCTCCAGCTGCCGCAGGCCGAGGCCTCCTTTCCCTGCCCTCTGAGCCATTGCCCAAGCTGAAGGCCCCAGTACCAAGTGTCCTTTCCTGTTCCCTGGGCACCATTTGTCCTCCTGACGGACCTTTAGGAGGCCCACAGGACCAGCAGCAGGCCCCAGGCCTTGGAGGAGCCTGAGGGAGGGCATGGAAAGGAGGCAAAAAGGGCAGGGTGAGGCTGGGGGTGGCGGTGTGGTGCCGGGCACCTGGCATTGCTTCATCCACAGAGAATGGCCATGCCCTGGAGCCTAGATGCAGTGTGGTCTCTGGATTTGGGGTACTTCTGTAGAGGGGGGTGCAGTGGTGTCATTCCCAAGCCCCTGGGCTGTGCACACTACAACCTCTAAAAAGAGGAGGCTTCTTGGTTTCCAGTGTGAGCTGTGAGGTGATTTGGTGAGGACCAGGAAAATTAACTGCACATGCTACTAGGTACTTCCATAGCTGGGAGTTATGCCAGTGGCTATAGTTTATTGCCAGGTGGAAAACATTTTACAAATGAAGCAGAGCCTAAAAATGACGATAAGACATCGGGAAAAAAAAATAGAATCGATCTTCTCTGGATGATACACATTAACTTTCAGCTACCTCACACCTCACTCAAATATTGACATGCAAATAAAAAAGGACTTGGAGAATCTGAAGAATTCCTTAAATGTTAGGTGTTGATCTAAAGCTGGGTGTTTGTGTGCTTGGGTGAGCACTGGAGGCTCACTATCGAGGGAGCAACAAGGCAACAGCCTTGTGATGATGTCCCCATCCACTACGCCCAGCTTCGTCATTTACAATTGCAGCCAGTACCACCAGGAAACCAAGCTGCTGTGGGAGCTGCAGATAACTGAGGTGCAAGCCCACATTGGGAGCATCTCAGCACCAGGTTGACCTACCTCAGCTTGTCTTACCCAGCAACAGTCTCCAAGCACATAATGTGGAAGCACGGTCATTGAAGACTTCCGTAGTCAATGGCAACTTGGTCCACTTAGGCTGTGAACCTGTCTCTGCAGGGGCCTTTTGGTCTCTCATGGCTCACAATGAACTCTGAAGTTAATTGGGCGCTAATTTCTCTCCAGGCCTTTCTTTGGGCTGTGGCTTTGCAGCTAACTTGCTTTCAATTGGTTTGTCTTCCTTTCTAGTCTGTGAAGATCATAATGGTCTTGTTGGTAGAGGGTGCTGAAGCAAGGGAAGGCACTTAATTTATGTCAGGCTTTTGACTGTGGGACATATATTCATCGGGGGAGCTGTGCAGCTACAGTGATGGCAACTGGTATTTAAAACCCAGTACTAGTAAATCACGGTGGATAAAACAAATGTGATGTATCAGGGCAGCTGAGGAGTGACACTTGACCACTGTATTGTTGTTCTGACACTGAAGGTAGTAATGCAGTTTTGTTCCTTAAAGCAGACCTGCTCTGCTAAGCAGACCAACACAATCCCATTTGGCAGGGAACCAATAAAAACAAGACAACTTTTCAAAAACTATTTTCTACAGTAAATGGGTACAACCCCAGACTAAGTGCTGGCACAGGTGTGGCCAGCAAATCCAGCTTTTAGTGGAGTTACCTGAAGCCCACAGAGGGCTTGCCTCTCAATTACAAAATCCAGCAGCAGTTCAAATGCAATCAAATGGGATTGCAGCTGTGCCTGAGGTAGACTGGCGTCATCCACCACTCATTTGTGATTTCTCTTACAAAAAGAGACCAAGAGCCGTAAGTGGAAATTGGTACCTCCTTGTGAGGTACCAGAGAAGTTCCTCTGAGTGCCTGACCCCAAGAGCAGATTTTCAAGAGCTACATTCAGACCCACCTGCAGAATCTCCAACAGGTGGGTGAGAAAAGCCCCTCCTGTTCCTCAGCATGCTCCATGGTTGTTGCGTTAAAGGGGTGTAGCTGATTAACCGTTACGGGCCCGGTCGGATTCAGGGTACTGAACCAGTCGGACATTCACCAAAAACACGTTAATCGTCTGGGGGTCCCGTCAGACATTCACCAAAAACGCATTAACCGTCTGGGGGTCCATTCAGACATTCACCAAAAACGCATTAACCATCTGGGGGTCTGGTTAGATTCAGAACACTGAACTATCACAGATAACCACCCTCACCCTAGTTGCTGCACTTAATGAGAGCTATCACAGTGCAATCAAGTATGTTTATTACAGCAACAGATGATCAGGTTCTTTTGGATTGCCGGCGATAGTGACTATCTGCAAAAGCAAGCTAGTATGCATGAAATACACAGGTGTTATAGGTGTTACAGGTGTTATAGGTGTTGTAGGTGTTACGGATGTTACAGGTGTTATAGATGTTACAGGTGCACAGCCTAGAAATAAATATGTTAAAAGGATTAAAGACTCTATAGAGATTGATAAGCAAGTATTCAGATCTCACCCAAAGGCATCCCAATGGGGGGGGAAGAGAGGCTCAGCCCGTCGACTGATCCCAGGAGTCAGGAGGTCTTAAGGATGTTGGATTTCCTCAGGATGGTATCTCCCCTGACAGTGGTATCTTCCCTAACATCCCCTCTCTCTTGGGCCAATTTATATTATTTTCTATCTTTTAGGTGGAGCTTGAGTGGCTCTAGTCAAGCATATCTTAGTTATGATTGGTGTAAAGTTTTCCCGTCTCTGTTTAAAGTAATAGGCTCCGAGAAATTCAGAGCGCATGCTCAGTGAGGGGTGGTCGCACCTTGGAGGCGGGTAGCTTTTGGGATGGAGGTGTGTTTTGGTATTATAATGATATTATAATGAGCAAAAAGAACACTAGGGTACAGCATTTGTCAAAACATGACAGGTCTTTGGCTTAGGGTGGCAAAAAGTGCAGCTTTGTGCACAAGAACAATTGAGGTCCCACCTGATTACAGAGCCTAGCCGTGGTGTCTCCACTCCACTCCACGCTCCGTGGTGTTCCTTAGAGCTAGCACACCAAGTTTCCCCAGTGCGATAGCATCTAAGGTTGGGAGCCTAGGGAACGCTCTGGTAATGCAGTTATGCCCTACCCTGAAAGCCTCTTCAAAGCTGTACCTTTTCCTTAAAAATGTGAATGTTAGTTTTATTTTCCTAGTTACTTCAGGCATTTACACCACAATGGTGCAGCAGGAGCCCTACAGCAGCAGCATGGCCTAAGGTTGCCTGAGTCTGATGCTCTGCTAACCAAGGGAGCAATGAGTCTCAGCCCCTTCCCCTTTTCCTGTTGCTTTCTATAATACACGAGCATTGAGAAGTTGCCTGAACAAACAGTGAGGTGCCCAGCCTAAGTACCTGTGTTGGTTAGAGCCTCTGAAGAGCTGGGTTTTACTGCAGTTGAGAATTTGAGGTACCTAAACTCTGCCAAGCCCTAGGATCCCAACAAACATCCTTCACAACACTCACATCACAGGAAATACCCGATATCCCAAAACCATGCCACAAACCCACCCACCAGGTCTTATCTTTGAAGTCGAAGTGGTATGTTCCTGGGTTTGGCTGTGAGACGCCATCAGTATCTGTTACATCACTATAATACCAAGCCAGATGCATTCTGTACCATGCATGCCTGCAATGTGCCTGTTGTGAAGTACTTCAAACACCCACTGGGGATTTTATGTGGAATGGGTGTTCTCTTTGTTCTTTTAGAAATAGTGTTTATCTGAAGAAAACATATGCATATTACTCAGTCCTTCACGCAACAAGACTGGCGCTGTAAGTCTCTCAGATTCCCTGTGTTCACAGGGAGTGCTATTCCTCATTTACCAGGATTTTGTGGGATGGACTGAAGGGAAACTTCCTTAAATGGCTTAAAAAGAGGAATCAAGGTCCTATATGTTACGGGCTAAATCCACTTCAACTAACTGAACCAGACTCTTACATACAATTCAAAATTCACAGGTATATTTCTTGGGTTTTGAGGACAGCTTGATAAGCATTTACAAGAATAGTTTATCTGGCATATAGAAACTTTATTCTAGCTGTGGAATAAGAATTCTACAAAGAGGTGTTAGAGATCTGGAGGGCCGTAAAGTGGTGTAAGTTTTAGTAGCTATGGTGAAACCAGAACTTGCTCAATTGAAAACACGTATGACATTCCAACTGTGAAACCAATTCTGCATGAGCCGCGCTTGATCTTTGCCTCAGTGAGATGTTCTTCACATGCGATCTGCTTAGCACATCACCTTGGAGCTGTGACAGTACTTCCCAGCCAGTGCTTGCAACATCATCAGCTGAAAGAATTTCACAGGGAGCGCTCTGGATCCTGTCTCCCCTGTCCATAAGGCAGTCGCCTCTAACACTGACACTCGATTGACTCGTGGGAAGAGAATATGAGCAGCTGTGAAGACTCCATTCCCCTGAAAGGTGAGATGGGAAAACCTGAAATTGCCCCCGCCACACACCAATTTCCCCCACTACGGGAAGCACAGCTACCTCCACTTGATCATTTGATGTCAATTTGGAAATATCACTAGTCAGTGCCATTCATAAGACTCTCACCTACTAACACTTGTCGGGAACTACTCAAACAGGGCAGGACACCATGATTTCCACAGGAGGACTGGAAGGCAAATTCATCCCCATGAGTCCATCCATCAGTCCATCCATTCCTAAAGGTTTCAGGTGGAGTATGTGTGAGTTTCTAGGATTTCTATTGCAAGAGAGGAATAAACTTCTGGCATTACTGAATGGCCTATCCCATGGCATACTAAATGGGTCCAAGTGCCCTCCGAGGGCAAGTATCTAGGCAGCTTATGTTAATGAGGGTTTGGAAGTAGAGGGTGAGATGACTTCTAATTTTTTTGGAGTTTTGTTTTTTCTTTAACCAGGACTGCACAGCTGAGCACTTGGAGGGCACGCCACGCCCAAAAGTGGGATACAAAACTCACCTGATCATACACGTGGTTTAATGATACAAGCTTTGTCATGGCAGTCTTAAGGTTTTTAGCTGTAAATGTAACTAAACTTCACCTCTCAGATACTCCAACGTAACAACAGGACTCCTAGATCACCCTCCCCAGGTAAAACATTAAATATCAATTGTATGGTTTCTTTTTTTTTTCTGGAAGATATACAATACAGTTCTAAACCTTTGGAGCTCAAAGGCAAGAATAATTACAGACGTTCATGGTGTGCATGATGAAAAAAGCCAGCCTAGATTATCATAATCATCTCCTTTGGCTATAAAATGTATCAATCTGACAGAAATGAAATAGTCCTTATAAAGTCAAAACGTTCTCCAAAATGTTCTGCCTGTAGGCTATAATACCTTTAGTTTTTATTCTCGACAAATACATTCATAAACGTATGATTAAAAAAAATCTGCCCTCATTTTGAGCTATAAAGCCTTGCAAGTGAACAAAAATCAATCCTTGAATTCACAGGGTGATTACCTTAATGTGGATAAAGCAAACAAATCATTTCAAGTAAAGCAGTTTTAATGATATTTTTTTCAGGCTTCTTGTATTACACAGAATGCTGTCCTGTCTTTGATACATATGTATACTTATGTGTACTTGTTGGCACCAGTTTAAAGAGGAGTAAGTCAGGAATGAGATTACTACAGCATGCCATCTCTTTAGGTACTTCACTGAGGGAGGCTCTAGTGGCAGTTTTTTCCAGTTATAGCACTGCTGCTTAGTCCGTTTGGGCTGTAATTCTGCATATTGCCATTACAGTTTTGAAATACAGTACAGATTACAAGAGATTGTACTTACAGTCTGACAAAAGCCACTGAAATTGAATTGAAAATGCTGTAAGTTTCATCCACGGGATAAAATAAAGGAGTTAGTGAATTGCTTTTCCCAGTATGCATTCAAATCAAATCATTTTAAACACAGTCCATTTATTGTGTGGGTTGGTTGGTTGTCTTTTAGTATTGCATACTTTACTATGGCTACCAGCTGATGTGTGCCTGTGCTAGTTGGAACTAGCTGGATACTGATATAGGTGAGGACAGATGGAGGAAACATACTAAAAATTACATACTAGACATTTGTCTGATATGAACCTATTGTGTCATTTAATCAATTTCAAAAAGAACCCAAAGCAACTTACTATCTTCAGGGAACCAGAATTATGCGCAAACGAAATTACTTGGTCTGAATGCAGTGAGAGATAGAAGAGATCATCTATCAGTGTGTTTTAATGAATATCTATATACAGTGCAGATGTATAAATCAGAGCCAAACTTCAGCGTCATGCTCTTCACTTCGTCTTACTTGCCATCAGTTCCTATTCCACTTTTAAGGTCAGTAAAAGACTGGAAAAGACACAAGAAAAGGTTGAGTATTGAAAAGTATTTCTTAAATCATTAGTTGTTCATCATTTTAATGGTGTTAGACTTTAGCAAATTTATGAGGCATAAACTAGTTAGCTTTACAGTGTCCAAATATTGTTAGTCTTAGAAGACCTCTTATTTGAAGCCTGTATTCTCCACTCGATTTACAAACTGCCCCTATATTTTAAGCTGATGATGTAACTGCCTTATTTGCAGTGTCTTGGTCAGGATACAA